CTTAACTTTCAAACAATTTTAAAAATAGGAGCATTGGGTGTTATACGCAAACAATAAATCATGGAACACTACATCAAAAACTATGGATGTACTGTATGGTGACTAACATAACATAATAAAAATTTTTTTTAAAGATTTTATTTATTTATTTGACAGAGAGAGAGAGAGAAATCACAAGCAGGCAAGGAGGCAGGCAGAGAGAGAGGGGGAAGCAGGCTCCCTGCTGAGCAGAGACCCCGATGTGGAGCTCGATCCCAGGACCCTGAGACCATGACCTGAGCTGAAGGCAGAGGCTTAATCCACTGAGCCATCCAGGCGCCCCAATAAAAATTTTTTAAAAGCTTAAAAGTTTAATGAATGAATTAAACTATAAGCAAAAACAATATCAAAACCCCCTAACTATGTAAGTCAGTGTGAACGGGGGTGATGGCCACGTGCTATAGGTGGCTTGCCCCAACTGTCCCCTACTCCTCTCCACATGTATCTGCTCTAGACCCCTCCCCTCCCCCAGGCAGGCACAAAGGAGAGGAAGCTGGATGGAATTTTTCCCCCTTGGATTCTCACAGGTTGAGAAGACCCTGGCATCTTTAAGCCTGTTCTCCTAATCTTTCCCCATGACCTTTCCATCCCTCCCCACCCTCATCAAAATTTCCACCCTTTCTGCTGTTGTCTTTGGCTCATGACTTTGCCTTATCCGTTACTGAGGGGGGAAAGTTATAAAATATGAACCTCTGCATCTCACCATGTCACATCTATAAACACTCTGGCGTTTTAAAGCCATCCTTTACTTTGGCCCCTTGGTTAAAACTGAGGCACAGTCCCTTGATTTCCCCCCATCTCAGCCTCTAAGATTTTAGTTACCCTGTCTTGTGCATTTTCAACTGTTGGCTTTCTAAAATCATTCCCTTCGGCACACAAACATTTCCTTTTATCTCCAACTACAGAACACTCTGCTGTGTCCCCAACTCCCCTTCGGCAATCGCGCGACTCTCATGTTTACATGTGCAGCCAGACTTCTTTGAACAGTTGTCTGTATGTGGCATCCCCAGTTTTCATCCTCCCTCTCCCACCTTACACCATTCGAATCTGGCTTCTACACCCACCGTTTCACCCAAACTGCTTTTGTCAGTGATAATTCTGTCACTTAATCTATGGAACATCTAATTAAATCTCTCAGTGGCCATCAATACAGCTGACCGCCTCCTCCTTCTTGAACCTGCCTCTTTCTTAGTCCCCCTGATGCCAAAAATGCTCTTGGGCTCTCTCTCACTCCACTTACCAATCCATTTCACTCTCCTTGGCCCCTCTCCATCCTGCTAACATTTTAAATGTAAGAATTTATCACGGCTTGGTCCTCCCTTCTCTTTTCTCTCCGCACTCTTTATCCAAGTGATTTCATTGATTCCCTTGGCTTCAAATACAATCTATAACAATTCCTAAACAATCCCCAACAATTCCTAAACTTACAGCTTTAGTCCAGAGCTCTCTTCTGCAATCCATACGTTATGTCAAGTACAGCTTTGACTCCTTCACTTTGAGGTCTCAGAGCGATCTGAAACTTCTCGTGTTTAAAACTGATCTGGGGAAACTCACTCTGATTTTGAGACTTAATCTAAAGCTTCAGCAATCAAGCAAGTGGAACATCAGCAAAACAAAACAAAACAAACAAAAAAACCCACATAAGTCAGAGAATCCATACATATCTGGCCACTTGATTTTTGACAAAGATATCAAGGCAACTCAATGGAGAAGAAGCAGTCTTTTCCGTAAATGATGTTGAAACAATTGTATATATATAAGATAACTTACCCACGCATAAAAAGATGAAACTCAACCGGTGCTTTATACCATATACAAAAATTAACTCAAAATGAGTCAAAGACCTAAAAGTAAGACCTGACATTATAAAACCTCTAGAAATAATCATAGGAGAAAATCTTTGTTCCTGGGTTAGTCAAAGATTTCTTAGCTAGGGCACATAAAGCATAAGACATAAGAGGTAAAAATGAATAAATTGAATTTATTAAAATTAAATGCGTCTTCTCTTCTAAAGGCAGGAAGAATAAAAAGTCAAAGAAAGAATAAAAATATTTGCAAACATTTCTAATTAAGGGCTAGTATCCAGAATATATAAAGAACACTGACAAATCAATAATAAGAAAACAAACAACCCATTTTCAAAAAGAAGGAGCAAAAGATATGAACAGATATTTCACCAAAGTAAATACACAGCTGGGAAATAAATACCTGAAAACATACTCAACATCCTTGGCCATTAGGGGAATGTTAATTAAAACCATGAGATACTACTATATACCTATTATTGCTGAAATAAATTTTTCTTTTAATCTGACATCACCAAGTTCTGGCAAGGATGGAGAGAAACCGAACTCATGCATTGCTGGTCGGAATGCAAAATGTACAACTAGATTGAAAAAGGGGAAAGTAGTTTCTTATAAATTTATCACAAGACCCATAGTCCCACTCCTGGGTATTTACCCAAGAGAAATGAGAACATTTCCACACAAGAATCTGTATGCAAATGTTTATATCAGCTTTTTTTTTTTTTCCCCAAAATTGCCAAAGACTAGAAACAATCCAAAAGTCCCCCCACAGGGGAGCTGATTAACTGTGTTATGTCTATATAAGGAATACTACTCAGCAGTCAAAGGTCTGATAGACTGTTGAGTGCAAGCACATGGGTGAATCTCAAAGGCATTATGCTAAGTAGGAAAAAAACAGGCCCAAAACCTACATATAGTATAATTTAATTTATACGACATTCTGAAAAAGACAAAATTATAGGGACAGAGCACAGACCAGTAGTTGCTGGAGGTGAGGGTCCAGTGAAGGGATTAACTACAAAGAACATCAGAAAAGTTTTTGAAAGTGACCGTGATGATGATTTCATGACGTGTTTCTCAAAAATACTGAATTTTACTGTGTGTGGAATTATACCTCTATAAACTGACTTTTAAAAAACTAATTTTTTAAAAAGATTTTATTTATTTATTTGACAGACAGAGATCACAAGCAGGCAGAAAGGCAAACAGAGAGAGAGGGGGAAGCAGGCTCCCTGCTGAGCAGACAGCCCGACACGGGGCTCGATCCCAGGACCTAGGATCATGACCCGAGCTGAAGGCAGAGGCTTTAACCCACTGAGCCACCGAGGTGCCCCTAAAAATCTAATTTTTAAAGATTTATTTATTTGTTTATTTGAGACCGCATGCAGGGGGAGGAGCAGAGGGAGCGGGAGACAAGCAGACTCCCCACTGAGCAAGAGCCTGACACACGGCTCCATCCCAGGACTCTGAGATCATAACCTGAGCCAAAATCAAGTCAGACGCTTAACCAACTGAGCCAGCCAGTATCCCCTAAAAAACTATTTAGTGGGGGCGCCTGGGTGTCTCAGTGGGTTAAGCCTCTGCCTCCGGCTCAGGTCATGATATCTCAGGGTCCTGGGATCGAGCCCCACATGGGGCTGTCTGTTCAGCAGGGATCCTGCTTCCCCCCGCCACCGCCTGCCTCTCTGCCTGCTTGTGATCTCTGTCTGTCAAATAAATAAATAAAATCTTTAAAAAAAAAAAAAACTATTTAGTGATCTTTCCCACATACACGATTCTTCTTCAAGTCTCTTCATCTTAAAAAATGGCTCAGTCAATTAAGCATAGGACTCTTGGTTTCGGCTCAGGCTGTGATCTCAGGGTTGTGAAATCGAGCCCCACGTTTGGCTCCATGCTCAGCGCCGAGTCTGTTTTAAGATTCTCTCCCTCTCCTTCTGCCCCTCTTCTCAGTGCTCTCTAGCTCCCAAATAGATAGATATATGATAGATAGATAGATAAATAGATAGATAAATATTTTAAAAAAATAGCATCACTATCTATCCACTTTCTAAAGCCAGAAACCTGGCAATGATACTTGAAATTTCCTTTTCCTTCTCCACTCATCCATATAAAATCCATCTCCAAATGTTATTAACTCTGCTTCAAAAAAATATTGCAAACCCATCTTCTAATCTTCGTATCCAAGTTTGCCCCTTCATGCAAATCACCGTCTTTTCTCACCTATGCCATTGCAATAGCTTCACTGCTGGTCTCCCTGCTTCCCTTCTTGGTCTCTTCTAATTCTATTTCTGCCTACCATCAGGATAATAATTTTAAGTGAAAATTAAGCCATGTCATTTCCTTGCTTAAAGCTTTTCTGTGCCTCCATTTCTAAACTTCATGCCCTGGCACCCAGCAAGCTATTACCCAACACATCCAATGTCATCATGTGGCACTCTCCTCTACCCTCTTGTCCCTCCGACCCACCCCATACCCATGATATTCCGACCACACTGGTCTTCTTCCATGTATTGAATAGTCCAGGTTTTTTGTTTCCTTAGCAACTCTGCACATGCTCTTCTCTATAACTGGGCTTCTCTTCCCCTTGGCTCTTTTTTCAATGGCTCACTCCCTCTCATTCGTAAAGTTTCAGCTTCACAAATCATATCTTTAGAGGAATCTTCATACATGTTTGAATAGTTTACTCCTGACATTCTCTTTCATAACACCCTATTTTGCTCCTTTCCCAATTTATGATTACATAGTTATGAATTTATTTTGCTAGCATTTCTCTCCCTTTCTAGAATATACCTTCTTGAAGGCAGAAACTATTTTCTTTTTCAGTTACTTAGCACATTAACTGACACATCATAAGAGCTAAATAAATATTTGTTGAATAAATGTGTAAACTAATGAACCTCCTCCAATGAAGAAAATAATGAATCCAATGTGATCATCACTGAATTCACCTGGACCAACATGTGCATTTATATAGTTATATAAATATATAAATTTATAAATATATATGTGTGTGCATATATATATGTGTATATATATAGGTGTTTAGACTTATAAATGGGATACCTACTACATTACTTGAAGAAAGTAATGATCACCAAGTTTCACAACCATGAGTGTGCAAATAGATGACCATGTCAGCCACCCAGAAAGTCTTACCTCTCCAAACCAATTGCTTGGCACAGAGAATGGAGCTAGGAGTTGTACAGAAGTGTAAAGCTGTGTGTCCACTTAAGGAGTAGCAATTGAGCTTTGCTCCATGGTCACAGAGGATCTTAACACAATCCAAGTTGGCCATTTCACAAGCCACGTGAAGGGGGGTTTTCCCGTTGGGTCTACAGTTGATTGTAGCATTGTGGTCCAGTAGCACCAGAAGACATTCCACATGACCAAACAAGACAGAGAGATGCAATCCCGTTGCCCAGGAAGACTTTAACTTATAACTAGGCAACCAGTAACCTGGACAAGAAAGGAAAGAAAGTTTAAGTTTTTGGCCTAGGATTTTTCTCTGTTTTGTGAAAATTTTTACAAATCTCTTACTTTGGTCACATTCATAAAATTAGGGGGAAGGAGTCATTCGGAAGTGCAAACTAGTAACTGGTGGGTCTGCAAATGTCTAGTTTAAAATATTTTATTTATTTATTTGACAGAGATCACAAGTAGGCAGAGAGACAGGCAGAGAGGGAGGAGGAAGCAGGCTCCCCGCTGAGCAGAGAGCCCGATGCGGGGCTCGATCCCAGGACCCTGAGATCATGACCTGAGCCGAAGGCAGAGGCTTAACCCACTGAGCCACCCAGGCGCCCCTGCAAATGTCTAGTTTAGAAGCATGCTTGGATATCTTGAGCAGGACAGTCACTCTTGAGTCTCTCTGTTTCTAGCATTTTCCATTACCTCGTTGCTTTATTTACTGATTCTTCCTGGCCCTTCAAGGCATTTGAGTTTGACACCTTCATTTATGGAATCACATTTTATTTTACATGGTGAGTTACATGAGACTCTTATTGTTTTAACTCTCAATCATTGCCTTGAATGTTTCTGAAGCTGTTACAAGATTATACCTTTTATTCCATCATGGTTCTTTTGCCCTATAGTTGCTGCTGTTGTTGTCAATCAGAGGTATGAATGTATTTGATGTCTTTAAAAAATTTGTCTTGGGGGGGGGCTGGGTGGCTCAGTGGGTTAAAGCCTCTGCCTTCAGCTCAGGTCATGATCCCAGAGTCCTGGGATCGAGCTCCGCATCAGGTTCTCTGCTCGGTGGGGAGCCTTCTTCCCCCCACCCCCGCCCACCCACCTCTCTGCCTACTTGTGATTTCTGTCTGTCAAATAAATAAATCTTCAAAAAAAAAATTTGTCTTGTGAAGATTTTATGTGCCTGCCTATTGGTTTTTATAATATCTCTTAAGGAAGAAAAACTTAAGGCAACTCACAAATTTTACACAATACAGGATTTTTTAAATGATCTAAGGGCAAAGGGGAAAAAATAAGGTAGGAAAATAAAAAGTGGTCAAGGGTAAGATTGGTACACAAAATATAAACCTTGTCCTATACACTAGAGCCACATTGCAAATTTGCCTTTGCACTTCCTAGCAGCCAAAATAAATAGGAAAACATGATGTATTGCACAATTAACTATGCCCACAAGCGATACACAAATTAATTGCTTAGGAGAAGCATGGCTGATCCTAGAACTGAGATCTTAGATAAATTCTTCCCATTAGTTGTTGGAAATGTTCTCTCTCTCCTCCCTCCCCGTCTCTCCCTCACACGTCTCACAAGCCATAACAAACATAATTTTATAAACCTTCTTCCAATGTCAGTACCTAGAGCCATAATATTAAGCTCAGTAGGAGTGGGTAATGGAAAATGGGTTCAAAAAGATAAAATACTAAGGCCCAGATGAAGATGTAAGATAACCCAGCAGCTTGGAAGAGACTCTAGGGCTGAAACAACAAAATATATTTTAACATGGATAAATCAGAAGTTTGCTTTTAAGTTATAAAATTCCACTATATAAGTACAAGCTAAGTGGAATACGGTTTAATGCTAATTTATTTGAGAAATGACCTAGGGACTTGAGTTGACAGAATTCTCAAAAAGAGCCAACAGGGGGTGGAGCTGCCAAAAAGCTAACTCGGTCTTAAGCTCCATTAATGAAAGTGCAGTGCCCAAAACAAAAGGGGTGAAAGTTGTATTCTCTACTGAGTAGATGAGGCCAGAATGAATCCAGAATATTGTGAATACTTCTGGGCACCAATGATGAACATCTAGAGGGCCCTTGGAGGTTGAGGACCACATAACAAGTATTAAAATTCTCTCATTTAAGTGAGGAACGTCACATACGAGCTACTCCTGGTATTTATCCTACAAGTATAAACACTCACGTGAGAGAATTCTCTCTAAGGGCCACTGTATTTTTTTTTTTTTTTTTGACAGAGAGAGAGAGAGAGCACAAGGAGAGGGAGCAGCCAGCAGGAAGAGGGAGAAGCAGGATCCCCGCTGAGCAGGGAGCCCGATGCGGGGCTCGATCCCAGGTCCCGGGGATCATGATCTGAGCCAAAGGCAGAGGCTTTAACCCACTGAGCCACCCAGGGTCACTGTATTGCACAACTTCCAAGAACCCCACCTGCATTGAAGTCTGTGAAGAGTATGAAGTTGTCAGGTGTTACAATAACCTGGCCTGTGGGTAAGAACAGGCACCTCACTACAACATGGTAGTATGGTATCCTAATGGGTAACCATTGGAAACAATTTCTATCTTTATCAATAGGAGACTGTTTAAAAAACTTTTTTGGTGTGTCCATACAATCAAATACTATACAACCGTTATGAAGAAGAGGGCAGTTCTGTGTGTATGGATACGGGAAAATCTCAAGATATATTACCAAGCAAGAAAGGCAGGGGCTGATCAGTGTACAGAACATGCTATCATATGTGAAAATATTTATCAGCCCTGCCAACAAGAAACTGGTTAGAGCAGTGACCTCCAAGAACTAGGGGCTGGGAGACAAGGACATAGACTTACTCGTCCTCAGATGCCTCCTTTTTGAGCTTTTAAATTCAGTGCCTTGTGCGTGTATCCCTATTTGCGAAAATAAGTAAAATTAAAATAAACTATTGTCCCCTCTTCAGAGGCAGAAAGATAATTTAGTTTCAAAGACCATATTACAGGGTCGTGCACAATGCTGACTAATCCTGAGGGAATGAATGAACCCAGCTGAAGTTTGTTTTTCTGTAAGCCACTCTCCACCATAGACATGCACACCACACACACACACACACACACACACACACACACACACACATCCCTTTCTCATTCTATTCAGAATTCCAAGGCCATTTGACTTTCCATCCCTCCCAGCATTCTCCTTATCCACAACGTCTCTTTAAAAAGAAACACAAAGTTAATTCACACTAAAGTCTAATGAACTGAGGATTTTTTAAAGTGCGACCCTCTTAGGATTATCCGAATTTATGTGGGAATCTGGATTCAACTGATAGAACTAAGTGTTAAGATACTAATTTGAGATCCCAGACACTGTGAAGGAAAGGGGTTCATTGATGGGGACTTTTCTCCGGCAGAGACAAACAGTATCACGGACAGTCTGGGCTGTGGAATTATCAACCCTGTGCCTGTAATGTTCGTGCGTGTGTGTGTGTGTGTGTGTGTGTGTGTAAACAGGCATAAATGCTGCATGTGTGTGTACCATTTATACATTCTTATTTAGCTGTGTGCATTGAATCTCTGTTCTGAGCAGAGTTTTCAGGCTCTGTGGTATGCAACCTGCTTTTGATAATGAATGAATCACATTAGCACCAGTACTTAATCAGTCATTTTAACGCTCAGATTTCCTCAACAAGCAATTTGCAAAGCCAGTCTCTTCTAACTGTCTTGGAAAGAAGCTGGTTCCAGATCTGGAAACTGGACTACGTTTTGCCTGCTGATTAGCAGCCAACATTCGGCAGCTCTGTGCACCCACTGATTGGAAACTCGTGCCTGCTTCTGCAATAGGAAGAAAAATGATCCCAGAAAAGGAAGCAGTAGAGAGCTGATTAAGAAAACACCATTTTGATGTAAAATCAAAGAAAACACAGAATGTTAGCGCTGGAGGGAAGATTATCCAGTCCAAGACTTTCATTTTCCAGATGAGAAAACTGCCACTTTCTCAGCCTGCCAGAGCCATAAGTCGCCTGCCTCAGTCCAAGCTAATGGACTCAGGATATCTGCAATGCAGGGTTTCCATCTGTCTTTGTCTTTGTGGAAACAGAAGAGGTTTTAGCAGCCATCCTGCGTCACAAATCACGAGGAAGGAAAGCAGATCCTGAATTCATCTATACTACACCACATCTCTGATATGGAAATGCATTTGCTGGTGGATGTTTTATTCCTAAATTCCCAGTAGCACCTGGAGAATCTCTCCTGCCCCATTTATTCCAGGCATCAGTCATCCTTGGTCTCTCAGTCCCTTGCCTCCGCCTGTTCCTTTGGTCATAATTTTTAACCAGTAAATCAGCCTCGGAGACAGCCGGGTCCTGGGATTCAGCCCACCCCAGATGAGCTTCTGCCTACCAGTCACCCCTCCTAGATGGAAGTTTGTGTAGGTGGTTGGCAACAAGACACCTTTGCTGCTGCCCCTAGAAGCTGAATAAATAGGAAGGGGACAGATTATCAGATACAGATCACGGCCCACTGAAATGTATCTTGAAGCCACGCAACAGAACTTTTTGGTGGTGGTGTGTATGTGCAGTGGGGGGTGGGGTGGGGCTGAGATTCCAGATCATCTGACCCCACGCATAGTGGGAAAGCCTTCTGGAGAGAACGGAGCAGCCCACAGCAAGGAGGCTATGTATGGCCACACCTTGGGCAGTCACACCTTAAAATGAGCCTGCTGCCACAGGTCGCTTTGTACCAAGTGTGGGAAGCAGCAAGAGTGTCCTTTCCACCTCACCTACCCACTCTGGGGACCAAACCTGAGGTAAGGCCATCCTCAGAAACCGCAGTGAGGCAACACCTATTAAAATGTTGTATTGCTACGGACCTCCAAGACATCAGAATTTGCCTTCTAACGTACAGCCTCCAACAGTCACAGAACAACAGAACTACAGCTAACTAACCAATCGGACATGTTCATTTTGTACACTCTTCCTTCTTTCCAGGGCAGAATTATCCCAGTGCTTCCAGGCCTAGAGTGTGATTAATTCTGAGCATTTGTTTTCAGAGTCCCCTCTGCTACCCTCTGCAGATGGCAGGCTGCCCTGTGTGCTCAGATGGGCACAAGGGGGGGGGGCGGGTGGAACCTGGGAACAAAGCCCCTGAGGGGGGGAGTCAGGAAGCCACTGCCTCCCCAATACTGTAAGCCACTCACCTCCCCTGTCCCCCGCAGGTCTGCAGTGCGCCAGTAGCAAAGGCTCGAGGAACTCTGCTTGAGCCCGGAGTTTAACAGAGACGAGACTACAGATCCTGTCCTGGGCAAAAATCCCGCAGAGTCTCTCAAAGGCAGGCCATGCCCACATGGATTTATAGCATCTACAGTCACTTTTCACCTTCCCCAGACCGTGACACATCATCTGTTTATATCATTTCCCCTTCATAACATCACAGATTATCAGCACGCAGGGGATTTGGAGAGGGTCTTGACAAAGTCTCCGCTTTACAAATAAGGATAAGATTAAGGAGCACACAGCGCTCGAGCCTGTCTAACTGGTACGGACAGATCAACCCAATCTTTGGTCTCCCCATGTTTTTAAACCGCCGCGGGTGACGGGCTGACTGCCCACTTCTCCGCCCCCCAAAACCAGCAGCACTTGTACGCAAAAAGCTCTAAAAGCATCTTAGAAGTTCAACCCCTACAAAGGTATTCGGAGTGATCATGTGTGTGTGTGTGTGCGCGCGCGCGTGTGTTTAATTAAATCTGAAACCAGAGACCGGCCTGAATAGCCGAGGAGAAGCCCTGCGCTCAGGAAATACGGTAAAGAGAGAGGGTCCGTGTTCAGGCTACCTCTTGGAAGAAGGGATTGACTCTGCTCTGTGTTTGGGGGTGTTCACCTCTCTGGGAAACTTTCAGCTAAGCCTGGGCTGCGCAACAGTGATCAGCTACAATGTTCTCTGAGTCCAAAGCACCCCACACACGAGAAGCCTCTGTTATTACAGCCAAAGGTTACACACGCTGCTCGCGCTGGATTAGCAGACATTTGCTCGGCCTGTGTCCACGTATTTGCACAGTACCGAAGGATTACAGAGGAAAGCACAACTCTTGGCTATCTTTTAATAGCTAACATTTTCAGGATAAACCTCAGAACTCCCCCAGGAGAGGGGGAAAAAAGCCAGCTTGAAATGCAACATTTAAAAGAAAAAAGTTTGAGGGGCGCCTGGGTGGCTCAGTCGTTAAGCGTCTGCCTTTGGCTCAGGTCATGATCCCAGAGTCCTGGGATCGAGCCTCCCAGCAACCTCCCCACCCCACCCCCACCCCCGCATTGGGCTCTCTGCTCCAGGGGAGGCCTGCTTCTCCCTCTCCCACTCCCCCTGCTTGTGTTCCTGCTCTCCCTGTCTCTCTCTCTCTGTCAAATAAATTAAATATAAATATATATATATAAATATATATATTTTAAAAAAAAAAAAAAGAAAGAAAGAAAGAAAGAAAAAAGTTTGAACACCCAGGAAAGGAAAAGAACCTGAGGATGGTAAGAGGATTGTAGGAGAGCATATTTCTGGCAAAGAGGAAAATGAGGTGATAAAGAGATTATTCATTAAGAGAGTGGAACTAAGAGCTTTCAAGATATTTGGAAGGCAGTTGTTACTTACTAAAGTAGATAGAACACCTGCCAGAAAGTTTTCCAGCAAAATCACTCATTGGTTATTTCAATTAAAAATATGACTACCAACCAAAGAACCTGCAGCTGTGGGCCATAAACGAAGTGCTTAAAGTGCATTACACTGATTAATAAAAGACTCTGATTAACCTTGCTGACTAGGGAATTTCATACCCAAGAGAGATGTACGGTATTCTGCCTGTATCATTAACGTGCCAGGGCTCATACATCTGAAAGAGAATCGCAATATGTAGTTGGAAAAGCCTTTGGAAACAGCTTTATGGATGTTCACATTTCTAGTATAGGGATCACTAGTGAGAGCCCGTATGAATAGCTTCGGATTTTCTTACAGATACTGTGTTCACTCTGGAGACTGCACCCTTGGCTCATGGTAAACTTTCTATCATTAACAACCCTTGACTTTGCAGCTACTTACTGCGTGTAGCAGTTAAAAAGTTGTTTGTGTATCTAACTTTTCTTCACGCCGTTCCCATTTGAAAGCCGTCGTCTGGTAGATGGAATTTTGCTTGCTTGTTTTTGCTTTAGAGACACATGTCCCTGCTGTCCTCCAGGAGTTATCCCAAATGTCAGCCGGCATGTTTTTAATGTTTGCTTTCTAAAGTGTGAGACAGGCTTTTTTTTTTTTTTTCTTCAATTAGTAAAACGTGATTTTTTCTGAAGATTTGATTATGAAGTTTAACATAACTTTAAAAAAATAAAACAAGGACTCCCCAACTATAACAATCATTATTAGGTGCTGGGGCTGGGTGGGACCCACAGTTTGAACCTAAGCTCTGGAATTCCGCTCTCTTTCCCGTGGGCGAGGGGAGCTATTCAGTGGGATGAGGAAGCAGAAGTGAATTTCCAGATGCTTGGTTCTGCCTTCCTCACAAAACCCACATTTTATATTTGCTTACGTGACTGTACCAATGAGATGTGGATTTGGGGGAGCAATGTTGAGACCCCAAGCTGATTTCCTCACCACAGAGTTCTGAACTGTCTTTCCAAAAACTATGAAATGACTTGTATACTAAACTTAAACATACCATATTCAGGGGAAAAAATGGGATCACTTTTTGAAATTCTATGAAAAGTGCTCTACGTCCTAAAAGAAGTAAAAATGCTTTGGGATTAATTGTACCCCTGTTGATCATCTGCGGGACCATGAAATGTTGAATATAGATTATATTTTTCATCCTACAAGCAAATTTAAAGATCGTGTCGTCTTAGTAAGCTGCAAAATACCTAAAACTTGAAGATTCTCATACTTTTAAAGTAAACAGGTCATGTTTCCATTTCCACATTCAGATGCTGGTTATATGGGTTTGTTTACATTATGAAAATTAATCATGCTGTACGCTTGTGATCTGTACACTTTTCTGCGTGGCACCTTTCAAATTTGTTTTTAAAAACCAAAACCTGCTGCGTAGCAATGCACTAGAATTCAACGTCCCAAAAGGAACTACCTCTACTGAACTAATTATCCAGAGCAGCCTGCTCAGCTCTACCCTGGTCCCTGGGAATTCCTCTGTGACTTAAGAAATTGATATAACCACTTAGGTCAACTTTGCTTGGCTAGCAACCAAGATTCTATTTATCACTTCCATTCCTGACTGAAATATTAAAAGGTTCGATAATGAGTCTGAAAGACATGTGAAAATGTGGGGAAAAAAAATTGAAAAAGCTTTGAAGAAAGAGGAGCCTTTAATCTAGATTTCAGATGGAAGAGAGAGATTCTGATGCCCATATTCATATTAAACAAAGAAGAGTGTGTTTCTCTCTGTGCCTACAAGCATGTGTGCACACACACAGACACAGGCACGATTCCCCTATAAACCCTGAAGATATGATCACAAATCCCATGATTTCTGTGCATACGTTCACCTGGCATGCATAAGAAATGAAACTCTACTTTTCTTGCCCAGAGGCTATAATTCGCTGTTTCCCAAATGGAAAGCCACATCCCACAATCCTAACACTATGAAAACTCCCATTCGTGTGAATGAATTTTTAGCTCTATGAGGACCATAGGAATCGGCTCATATGGACAGAAAGGATGAAAACTGTATTTTCTTCTGATTCAGGGTGATGACCCCCTGGAAGCAGGAGAAACAGCATCTTCTTTCCCCAGAGCCTGCCCTTCAACTTCCTTTTTCTTACAACCTCAAAACCTCGAGGGATCCACTCAATTTGGCATGTTTAAGAGATGGGAAGAGGCAGTCTTCACAACTCAATGTTAAATAAATTACACTGACTCGGACCTGAGTTATTTCCATGGGCACACACATGAGCTTAAAAGATACCTTAAAAATGTATTTAGTGTTCAGTCTTTCACTGAACAGATCCAGAAGGAGAAAGTAATGTGATTACATGCTATACACTCCTTCTTTCTAACAGAGCTCCATCAACCAGTTTTTTAAAAAACAAACTTCTTCGTTATCTTCCAGTCAAAATAGCAATGCCAATTTATGATAAAGCCCTCCAGGAAAAAATCATAAACACAGTAACTGGCCTCCTCTATTCTTCCTTCAGAACTAACAACCAGAGTACAGTAAATTAATGGAGAAATATATACCATTAGCATTAGTTTCTGAAAATTGATGGTGCTGATGGCTTATATGTGAATGGAAAGCACTTACAACAAGAAGAAAGAATTGCTCTCTCTCTCCAAATGCTGTACACAAGACCTTATCATCTATTTTGTTTAAACAGAAGTTATGTTGAACATGGTGTTTGTTTGTAGTTTGCTCACCAGATGGCCTCGCTACTCAGGTTCCCCATTAACTAGCTGATTTGGGAAATCAGAATCTGCGTACTTCTAATTTATTTCTGATTTCTCAGGCATGGGTTCCAGAAAATCCCTTGATAAAAAAAAAAATCCGTTTTCGTTCTTGTTACCTCTCATTCTTTAAAAGGCAGCCATTCTGTAATTAGGATATCTACAGTTTTGATCTATTATTACAGTCAAGGAAAAAAAGTTAACTTTGGGGTTTTTCTGGTTTCAGTTTTTTGCCTGAACTAAAAACTCATTAACATGATGAGGACCATCAAGGTGCATCAAGGCAGAGACTTACCCATTCATTAACCCTCCAAATAGGGGCAAAAATCCCCTTTTCCATCCAGATAGACACAGAGATGATATACCTTTCAGTGGCTGTGTAAGCACAGAGTTAGCCGCCTGTCCCCAAGGCAGTCCCTCTGTCTGGATTAGATCTTAGCAGTCTGTTTAGCCATAATCTAGAGATGTTTTCTTTATTCTATGTCATTGTAGGCAGAAGAAAAGTTCAAAATAAAAGCAAAGTACACTAATAAATATCATGGTCCAGGATTTCAAACTCCAGACACAAGGATAGAGAAAGAAGAGAAGAGAAAAGAAAAGATAGAAAGATAGACAGAAAGAAACACAAATATATCCCATTCACAATACGGTCTAGTTTAAAAGAGAAAAAGATTAAATTAGAAATATTTTTTTAAAAATACATATGTAAACTGTAAAAGCTCCTGGCTTAGATTGGGTGACCGACATTGTGCATTAAAAAAAAAAAAATCCATTATCTATCGATTTTATAATCACACCTCTAATTTTTACCTTGTTTATAAGATGCCAAAACCATATTCTCATCTTCAACTTCAAAAACCGTGTCCACATCTATTAGCCTCTGGATTAAGATGGCCTTCAGTTTTCCGAAGTCATTGGACTTGAGAGCCTCAAGGAAATTTCTCTTAACTAACTTGGCAGCTGCGGATTTAGTGATAGGGGCGGTGGTGCCTTCCATCCTTCCTCCTCTCCCTCTGGAAGCTTTGTTGTGATTTATCAGGAGAGCGGCACCAAGCAAACAGGCACATGCTGGAGAGCCCACAAACTGTCGGCTAATTTTATCCCAAAGTTATGCTGATCCGTTCTATTTATATAGGGATCATTTCAAACTTCAAAATATCCTTCCTGGCCGTGACTGCCTTTTCAGGTCTTTTAAACTGGTTCTATGCTCACTGATTCATTGAATAATATATCGTGTCAATATCAAGGAAAAGCCCTTGCACCACATTTCAGGGAACGAAATGTCAGTATTATTTCTTATATGATCAAAGCAATAGCTTAAGATTTAAAAGCTCTTAATGCTTTTTTTTTTCACCCCTCAGTAAAAACATCTGGTGTCCAACTGGAGATCCAGCGTCCTGCTCTGATTAGCCAACAGCCAAAAAAAGAAAATTTGTTACAGCTTCTGAGACATATGTCCCTGAAAACCTATAATAATTTTGTGGCATAAGCCCACGGAATCGGGCAGAGTTGTACACATTGGAAAACAAACAGAAGGTTTTCAAGTGACCTAGACTTGAAAAATCTCAATGTCGTGAAAGAAAGCTGGGGAGGGTCGCGTGGCAGGACTGTTTCAGGTAAAAAGAGACTAAAGAGACAAAACAGCCAAGTGCAATGAGTGAATGAACTTCATTTAATCCTGTATTTAAGAAACAGAAAAGACTATATACCGGGGCAATTGTGGAAGTATGAATACAGACTAGATATTACTTCACAATACGGAAATACTGTTTCTGTTCCAAGGCATGGTGGGGGGATTGTGGTTATGCAGAAATATATCCTTATTCTTATGTGGTGCATGAAGGCGTAAATTGCCATGATGTCTAAAACTTCTTTTCATATAGTTCAGAAACGGAGAACTAAATGTGTGTGTATATACACACACGTACGTGCATGTATAAGTGTGTGTGTGTACATGTGGGTGGGAAGTAAATAGAGTCAGAGAAAGAAAAGGTGGGAAAAAGTGGAAAATTGACAAATCTAATGAAGAATCTCTGGGTGTCCATTATATTATTCTCTCAGCTTTTCTGTAAGTTTGAAAATTTTCCAAATAAAAAGTTAGAGAGGGGGCACCTGGGTGGCTTGGTGGATTAAGCCTCTGCCTTTGGCTCAGGTCATGATCTCAGGGTCCTGGGATCGAGCCCTGCATTGGGCTCTTTGCTCAGCAGGGAGCCTGCTTCCCCCCCACCGCCCCCACTCTCTGCCTGCTGCTCTGCCTACTTGTGATCTCTATCTGTCAAATAAATAAATAAAATCTAAAAAAATAAAAAATAAAAATAAAAGGTTAAAAAGCAGAAACAATCAAATTTTAAATTTATAAATTATTAAAAATTAGAAAAATGATGACAAGAAGTATTAATTTGAATGCAGTGAAATCACAACTTATATAGTGTTGATAAGAGTCAAAACTGTTACAGATTTTCCTGCAAAATAATTAGCAATGTGAACTAAAAAAAAAACTTAAAATGATAATAGTATTTGATTCTTAGAATATATTTAAGGTTGTAAACATAGATGCATATCATAGCACAATTTTTTAACTTATTTCATTGATGTGCAACCTAAATACAAGAAAGTGACAAGTCATAAGTGTACAGCTTGTTGAATTTTTACAAAGTGATGGTCCCCATGTAACTGACCCCAGATCAAACCACAGCATAGTCCAAGTGTGCTGGAAACACTGTTTATGTCTCCTTCCAATAGAAAGCCTCCAATGACAACTATTATCTTGACTTCTAACACTATAGATTCAGTTTGCTTGTTTTTTAGTGTTTAAATTTTTTGTTAATTTTTAAATTTTTTTTTAAATCTTCAAGCTTAACATAGTATGAAATACTTGACCTGAAAAGAAGGATGGATAAATGAGTGAAAATGTATGTGTGGGAAGTTACATTGTTAATAATAGAAAAAATTTTGGAAGCAATCTAAATGACCAACAGTTAGAAAATTTGATAAACAAATTATGGCATATTCATATAATGGAATACCTTTCAGTCATTATGATTAGGTAGACATATACTTATTAAAAAGTCTTTGAGGAGCACCTGGGTGGCTCAGTCAGTCAAGTTTCTGCTCCTGGCTCAGGTCATGATCCTGGGGTCCTGGGAACAGGTGTTATGTCAGGACTCCCTGCTCAGGGAGAAGTCTGCTTTCCCCTCTCCCTCTGTATTCTCTCACTCTCTCTCAAGTAAATAAATAAAATCTATAAAAAGAATAAATAATAATAAAAAAATAAAAATATCTGTGAGCTAGACAATTTATAAAATAGTATGTATAGTATAAATATCTTTTAAAAATCTATATATAATGTATAAATATGCATTTGTACATATTATATAATTTGCACAATTATATATACTTATATAATTTGCATATATTTATGTAATATATACACATATATAAATATATGTACTATACGCACACATAGGAAATAAAGTCTATAACCATCTCTCTCCAAATATCATGAGCTTTTATTTCCTAGTGGTAAGATTACATTTGATTTCTTCTTGATCACTTTCTTATTTTTTGAATTCACCTACAATGAGTATATATTACATTCGTGATGGAAAGGTATTTCTGTACAAGTATATATATGACATTAATAAGGATAACCTGTTAACTCAGAATAACTACAGAATTGTAGGTTCTAAGAAGTAAGGAACTGAATTATTCTTAGGTCCTTGCTGTCTAGCATGAATGAATAAATGAAAAAAATAATTATTTATTGATTATTTACAAGGTCCTTAGCGTGGTGCTTGGTGGCAAATAAGATGCCACTATTTCTTTGGTATCCCCATGGGCAACCTAAGTAGAAATAAAGCACTTATTGATATTATTGATAAACTTTGTCCCTTTTTGACAAAACTAAAAGAAAAAACAAAGTATTCCTACTAGAAGAAACAAAGAGATCCAGGAGTTTTGCATTACTAGAGGATACTTTTTGCTATAGAAGTTCACCAAAATGGAATCTATGTAAAACAAAGACCAAATTTCACAAAGTGGGGGGGAGGGGCTCATTTTAAATTCATCTTAAATAATAAAGACAAAAATTATGAGGAACACTTTTTCACCTAATATTTAACAACATTTAAGTTGACAGAAGCTATGTGTAATTCATAAGACCACAAAACAAATTGTTTACTATTTTCGTGGTAAGATCATCATTCTGATCCAACTTCATAATAACATGAAGCAATATCCTTTAACGTTAGAGTGACTTTTGTCAAACTAATGTAAAAAAGATCATATTTATGAAAGTGTTCAAGAGCTTCATCAGTTTTGCCAAGGGCCTGCCTTCATCATTTGATTTTCCAATGACTTTCAAACCCAGTGGCTGCAATTCCCACTGAAACACTTGTTAAATCCTTATGTCTTCAAACTCTTCTTATTCTATTATTAAGAGAAATAACGCCGCCGAATCCTCATGAGTGACTAGTTTTGTGATTGGGGCAGTTCTCTTACATTTTCATCAACTTCATGAAATCTTATCTCATTTACAAAATTTGCAATTTCACTTTGCAATGGACATCAGGAAATCCGTGAGATCTGGACTCTACATTCAAAGATACATTGTCTGATTTGAGTTTGCCACCTTGTGACCTTAGGGCCTGAGATAATGGACAATCAGTTGATATGCCCCATAATTCTTCACAGTAATGAAGTTTTAAACCTAACCCTACCTTCCAAAGTTTACATGTTTCTGCTTTCAAGAATATACAATGAGTTGAAGGGACAGGGAGGCAAATACCAGTGAATATTGAAAAGAAAATACAAGATAATACGTAATTCTCACATCCTGGTTCACAAAGTAATCCATTCCATTACTGGAAAATTAGAGTCAGTATTTCCTTTGTTACACTGCACCAAAATTGCTTATCCATAATTTTTTTCATTGAATCTAATTATGAACATATAATCATACATGTATTCCATTCTTAATCCTTAATGAATTTCTAACATTTGAAAATAGCATCCTATCTCTCATCAATCATTTTTCTCCTTGACTAATCTCAACTGTTCCCTATATGCGCTGGTTTTCAAAATTCTTTTGTCCTGCCTACCCTCCTCTGGATACTCTCTAGTTTATTGATGTGTGCCCATTCTTAAATTTGGGTGCCTAAAATGGAACATAATATGCCTAGAGGGAGCTAAAAACTAGGGAGTATGATGGCACCCAGTGTCACACTGGGTGACACTCTGCTTTTGTTGAAATTGTTTTGTGATTCCTAGGAGACGCTTTGCAAGTCGGCCTCACATTAAGTTATAATTTCTTCAACAGACATTTATCGAGCACTTACCATGTGCTAGACACATTCTGAGCACCGGAGATACAGCAGTGAGCAAAATAAACAAAAATCTCCATCCTATAGGACTTAGCATTGCTAGTGGATTTAAGTAAAATGGAAGTCCCCAGATCTTTCCATCTCCTGGACACCACATTCCTCACAAAGCTGCAAATTCACTAAATGTCCTAGACAAACAATGTAGTTTGTTTATATTCGAATAATTGATCGGATTCTCCCTTTATGGATTCTTTATCTTGGTGGCAAAACTTCATTTTAGTCTAACTTAATATGTTTAGTCCAATCCAAATTTTTAGCAGTCACTTTGGGTAAATGCTCCATTACAGTGGATAAAATTCTCTATCTTTGAGAGTTCTGACTTTCCCTCTAAACTGGTTTCTGGAACTATGAGATATGGACAGAAACAACATTCAAACTACTAATATCTAACAACCAGTATCAGTTAGAAGAGACTTTGACGATGAATAATCAGTATGGTCAGACTAGTGTATCACAGATGAGTATCAGTCAGAGGTAGGAGAGCAGCTTATGTGATCTCTTGTGGGGAGAGAGAGTCCTCAGATGGACTCATCATCCTGAAAATCCTCCTTGATCTCCATGGCAGAGTGACTCCCCTAAATTGTTCCTTACTATATTCAGATCTCTGGCTTCCACCATCAGAGCACGTGATCCCAGTCATTTGTCTCCAAATTTGATGTCTTCAAAGACTGCAGTCTCTTGGCTACGTTAATG